TCACCATATATATATATATGGTGTGTGTGTGTGTATAAAATAGAGAACTTTAAAATAATTATATAAGAACACTGTTTAAACAGTCACCATCATTCAGAGATCAGTTCATTCAGGGAAAGGAAAAAATTAGTTGAATAATCTATATTTTGAACATCTCAGTTCTATTAAAACTGTCAACTTAGTTGCTATATGTAAACACACCCCAGATTTTATAACAAATAATTAGAAGTCTCTATTCTAAATTATATTTGTGGATAACAGCTCATTTTAGTCAGAAAATAATTATTGCAGCCCTTGAAGTTTGAACAACTACATAACTAAAGTTGCAATTCTACATTTATGAAATAACTGGGTGTACAAATGAATTGGTTCAAGTATACAGTGATTGGTTAAAGGGTCCAAGAACACAGTCCATTTGCCCCTGCTGGAAAGTCTGAGTAGTATCCTAAGTTATTTATCAAAGACTTCAATATGTGAGCCATGAGGCTTGTGACAGATACATATTTTTGAAATAAAATTAAAATGGCTTTGATACCTGTAGAACAGTTTTATGTGTTTGGAAAGATACTTCCTTTGCTCATTCTAGAGCAAATCCTACTTTACAAAAAAATTGACTTTAAAGGAAAATAATTTTGAATGGTCATGTTGGTGTCAGCCCAACATTTTATACTTGAGAGAGACTTTGGAGATAAGGTGGTTGATGGATAAAAGGTTAGTCAAAAACACTGTCTCTGACTCTCATTCCAGGCCTCTTTCTGTAGCACATGGCTTCTTTGCACTCCATGTTTAGGATCACTGCTGTTTCTTCAGAGTATATATTTTAGAGGTAGAAATTCGAGGTGTAGATGATTATCTTATTAACAGAAACTGCAGTCCTCTGCCCTTCTCTTTTCTATTTGGATTTAAAGTTCCCAGTCATATAATTGTAACTGCATTAGATGCTTTAGAAAATTTAACAGGAAAATATTTTATGTAGAAATTTAAAAACTATGCATGAATGGCAAAATCCAATAAAATAACACATTTTCTATATACGTTATAAAACAATTTTAAAAAGGGCTGGCTTGATAGTAAAAGAGTGGCTCAAATTATCAAACTGAATATGTAATATAGCTACAGATACAGAATATTTTCCAAGTACACTTGGATATGTGCCTGCTGCCAGGGTTCTCAAACCGTGTGTCAAGGTTCCCAGGGTGCTACAGGTAGTAATTCATAGGGGCACAGGATATTTTTAAAATGTAGAGAAAATACAGAGGCATCTATTGGATACTATGTGAACTATCACAGATAAGCTGTTTGGACTTTACTAAATAAAATTGAGTTTGATATTTCCTTTGTGTTTAAGAATTCCGTGAAGCAATTATCGAGCCATCAACGGTGCCTTAATCAAAGAAAATTTGGAAAATTTTGGCCTAGAGTATATTTGTTTTAAAATTACCCTGATTTTTTTTAACCTGGATGTTATTGTTGTTCAACTATTATACTGTTAACCACAGAACAGAGTAACTAAA